TCTCTAACAGAAGCGGCCAATTTAACTTCTATCTTGGTTTAGTATAGGAGGTAAAAACTTTCTCAGGCGTAGATAGAACACTGTCTGGGGAGTGGAATGCCATAGCCATATGGTTAAGCAGAATGTAAGCTTTCAGTTTTACAAGTATGAGAGTCCACAACTTTATTCTAAAATAAATCTCCAAATATAGCTTCCTACAGTAATGCCTTCCCAAGTTGGCAGCCCAAAACTTTCCAAACCAAAAGCAGCCTTAAATTGACAAGACTGTTAAATTTTCTACCACCAAAACTATGAGTTAGGATTCAGCTTGACAAAACAGGATCACTTTGATTTCTCTTACTGCATAGAAATGTGAATAGCAAAAAAAACAGGCTGACTGTAGCTGTTGGTGAAGAAGTCTAGCTCTATCTAAGAGAAGTTCAAGGAGTGAAAAGACCTTGTCAGCACACAGGAAAGTAAGGATGTTTTAAAGAACTAAGCCTTTCTCTAGCACCTAATGCACACCAGTGGTTTCATGCTTGAACACTAGAAAGGAAAACTGCTGTTTGACTGACTTGATTTATAAGGTAACTGTTAGCTGTCTGTTGATGTGAGAGAAGATTTCTTTTGAGCCCAGGGTCAGAGAACTGGTAAGGTTTCATCCTTCCTGAGATGCAAGGACAAAGCTTCTTATCAGGAAGTTGCCCCTCTTTTGAAGGTCTTCATTGTTTGCTCATGTCTATTTCAACTATTTCAACTGCGTAGCAAGTGGTTGTCTGGTACATATGCTAAATACTTCCTAATGGTGCTATGGAGCAATACAGAATGCACTTCTCTGTAGCAGATTGGCAGCTACTGTAGTGTAGTTTCCTAGAAACTAAGTAATCCGGAGTTTGATTAGAAACGTGATTTGGGATATTTGTAATTAGAGGTCTGTTGTTGCTTAACACACTTATACGGTGGAACCTGTGCCCTCTGCTCTCTCCCAACAGTTGCCTCAGCTGTTATACCTGTCTTGAGGAAAGCTCTGTGGAAGGAGCTCTGCAGTGCACTTCAAGACACAGAAGCATCGCCTGAGACCAGTGTGAAACTTCAAGTTCTTTCAAAGTTGTTGCCATCTTCAAAAAGCAAAGGGCTGCGAAAGCTTATTGACCAGCTTCCAGCAGCTCTTGAGAAAACAGAAAATGGGGAGAGGTAGGCGAATTCATTTGCCCTGTTTCAGAACTTGGTTTGTCCTGTAAAGCACTTTGATAGGTATGCATGAGTGCAAATATTGTGAGCAATAATAGCATCCTCTGCTCAGAGAGTCTGTCACTTTACGCTTTGAGAGCGAGACATTTTTAACATAGACAAAAAACATGTTACAGTGTTAAAAAAATAAATATCTTTCTGCAGTTGGACAGTGGCAGATGCCATATCTAGAGTGCTTGAAAACTCTGAAGAGCTGCATTCCTGGAGGAGATGCCTGTTATCAGCCTGCATGAAAGGGTTAATTTTCATGTACAACAGCAGTAAAGATGAAAGCAAGGAAAGCAATCAAGAATTGGAGAGATCCATGCTGCTGAGGCTAGAAGAATTATTGGTGAGCCTTCTTTTTATCTGCATGGCTAGAATGTGACTGTGTGTTATTGTGCTTTTGTATCTTGGCTATATATAGATTGGACTTTATTTTCTGTTTTATAGGTTATGGCTTCTATAGGCTTTTAGTAGCTTTTGTGGAATTAACTTAGCCCTGCTAATCCTTTGTAAGAAGCTGTTTTGAGTTGTTCTTGACGATGGCTTTCTGCTAACAGTCCCCTCTGAAAACCAGTTTGAGGTGTTCAGAGTTAAAAAGTAAAGGTTGACAAGGGATGTTTTTATTAAAAAGGAAAAAAAAAAGTGATAGAGGGACTTCTGACAAGACCCACCTGCCATGCCCTTTGAAGTCTGTGGCAGAAATCTGGTTGATCATAGACAGAAATCTGGACTTGGATCATCGAGAGCACTACTTGATCATACCCTCTGTACTACTCTTTCTTTTGTAGTTCAGTAAGGTAGGCAGATCCATGTAAGATGTAAAAATTAAGGTCTCTGCAGGCAGTGAATGCCTTTGACCTCTTGCTGACTTCTGATGAGACTTCCTTTTAAGACATGATTGATTGCATAGGATGGGAGTCTTGCAGGACCTGGGGGGCCACCTCATAGTGTTTATCCTTGATGGTGTTCACAGGCCTGATGCAGTTAGCACCTACCGTTACCGGGACTGCTGGCATGTGCAGCTGTCTGTCTCCTTAAAACTGTTTGTTGTTTATTGTGGTTTGTAGCATTTCAGGGCAGATCAGTTTTTGTAAAGAACACATACACCCAGCCAACCCTCTTTGCCACATGCAAAGGTTGGTTAACTTAAGCACGTTGTAGGTACACAAAAACCTAGTACCCGAGTCTCTTACTTTGGCTTGACAACTTTGTATTCCTTTCACACTTTGTGGGTGTGAAGAGTTTCAAGACTCTGGGTTTTTTTGGTACCTTCAGACGAGCTTGCTTTTTATTTGCATACAGCCTATATGCTCCCTTGCTCCCAGGACCAACAAAGCAAGACTTGCAGTTTCATTTGAATCAGGAGGTAGGATTGTTGTATCCAAGAGCTTTCTTCCCTGTTATCCTTTGATCATCACACCTGACTGTTTGGCTTGCCTGTTGTTAGTGTGTCTGTTGAACAAAAATTACAGGTCTTGATTGATCTGTAGAAGCTCTGTGTGCTAAATGTAAACATCTGCTTTTACTCACTACTTGCACAGCACTTTGTTGAAGAAGTGGACCCAGATGACTGGTACAGCCTTGTGAAGACGGGACTCAAGTAAGTAATATTGAGATGCACCAAAGGTGTTGTAGGAGGTACAGTTCTGTTCACTTAACTTTGTCCTGTGTTATACTAGAAATACTCTGTCTTCCTTGAATTCAGTCAGATTTGACAGTGCTCCTTGTTTCTCAGGTTGCACTTTATGTCCCATCCAATGGCTTCATTAGAGCCTGAACTTGCCACAACTGCAGGTAGATTTGGATTTTGTGCTCCAGTTAGCATAACTAGTATAGCTAACTGGATAGCTGGACTAGCTTTTTTTAACTGGCATAAAGAAGATATATATGCTCGTATAGCTTCTTTTCTTTTTATTTAAGATATTGCTTAAATACGATGCATGTGGAAACAGAATCAGATCTTTCAAAAACAAATGTAAACCATTTAAATGAAAGAAATAAAAAATAGTTTAGGATGATGTTAGCTTCTGTGGAGGTAGAAGTGTTAATGTGAACAGTTGCTGTCTGAAGGGAGGCAAAATTGTTAGTAGGCAAAATTCTAATCCTTTAAGATCAGTGCAGCTACAGTGTTGATTCTGCTTTATTTTTTATAATTAAGATACCAGTATAGCTTAAAAAGAATTGAATCAAAACAGCTCAGGGAAAGGAGTGCATGTGTTTTCTTTTTTAAAAAAATTGTTTTGGTTTTACTAAGTTTGCTTTCTTTGCAGAGCTCTCATGTCTTAAACAGACTTTTTTCAAGCAGCTTTCCTTACAGTTGGGGTCTGACTTTTCTCTGATCTATGCTTCTAAAGGTACCGCTACAGAAATGAAGCATTTTTGAAAGTCCTGAACATTGCTATTCAATTGTTATACAAAAAAGAATCCTCCCTGAGTCAGAGATTAGTCAAGCTCTCCAAACTTCACATGATGGTCATGCAGCACTCTCTATTTTTGTCAGCCATTCTGAGGTCGAGAGAAGAAGATGGCACGAACATCCAGACAAGAGGTATTTTTTTATCTTCTTTTTCCCTTTAACTATATTTAGTAATCTTGTCTTTCTCATGTTATATTCTATCCATCCAGTAACCTATCCACCTACACATTCTTGCAGAGCTATTAAACAATTCCAGAATATTAACATTTAGTTTTAAATTCTACCTCTACTTGGATCTAAATGTTGCATTTATTTTACAGCTGCCAATTTTAAACACTTATGTTTTCTAAAACTGCTGAAAAGGTAAAAGGTGGGTTTGGGGTGTTCTCTTTGGTTGTTTTTTTTTTTTTTAACCCTGTTGAAATCTTGAATTGATTCTTTTGGTTTCTGTGAGGTTGTTGGTGTAAGATCATTGCAAGTGCATTTAGGTTCTGTTAGAAACTTGTATGACATTTAAGCCTATTTTAAAATAGGTTGATACAGAAGATTTTAATTTGATTTTGCAAGTATCAAAAATGTTAATTTAATTAATGTGTACTTGATACTGCAACCTGTCACAGGGAATATCATCGCATGATTAATAGAAATTGGGTGCTAGTTCATGTGTCAGATTGGCTTTGTTTCTTCATCTCTGCCAGCTGAAATACTTCCTGACTTTGAACCAGTCATTTAATTGACATACACCTCAGCTTTTTCCCACTGTACTGAGCGTTGGTATTCTGTGAAAGAGCTGTATAAGAAAAGGGGAGGAAATTTTTAGGGCAGCATGTTGATAACAGATTTTGTGTATATTGATGAGCAATATGTAAACAAACCTTAAGGTTTTAATTTACCTGAAAAGAGCAAAAAGTTCTTATGAAGTCACAAATTTAGTGAAATTAGAAAGAAGTAGTAGATTTTGCTGTACACTGTATGTGTTTTACCTTTTGAATGTATTTCTCTAGAGGAGCAAGATGGATTCTTTGAAGCTAACTTCAGTAATTTAGAAATGTAGTGTCGAGAGTATTCATTCATGCTGTTGTCTTTATGATCTGTTTTGTTTTGACAAACAGTTTATATTCCTGTAGATACTAGAGGAAAAAGCCTGTTCCTTTTCAGATACTGAGAGTAAAGAAATCTGAATTCAGGTCTTGAATCTGCCACAGATACCCTATATGCCTCTGGGTAACCTGATGACTTATTTGATCTGTTCCTCAGCTAGTTGTAAAATAAATGTGGATAATCTTTGTTCGCTGCAGGCCAGTTTTCCTGTAGCTTGCTAACTAATGGGATTCTGCAGTGATGACCCCTCTTCAAATGTGCAGTGTAGAAGCGTTTTGATAAGTTACTGCAGCTGGGGTGTGACTTCCAAGTTCTTGATGTAAATTCTTGAGTAGCTTGCTGTGATTTCTGCCTTTACTCTGTGCAACTCCTGAGCTAATTTAAGATGCCTTCCTGGGGCAGGAGGGAGCTGTGGTAGGGTAGGATAGAGTATAGCTTCTTTTTAACCAGAGTACAAATGTGAACCCTTGGAAAGTTTCTGCAGGATAGTATGCCAGGTATTTGTAGAGATAGATCTTGATCTAAAATGCGCAGTACTGTATATGCATCTGTTTAGAGAGGGTCTATGTGTGTGGTGGTATTTATATAAGCACTATCTAACAGACAACAACAAAGCTAAAGCTGTGTGTTTATTTCAGAGGCCTTGGTCGATATACTGCTGACAATTGTGAAACTCAGTCCTTCTCTGTGTGAGAGCAGTCACCTTGCTGTGTTGCTGGGTGCCTATGGGGCTACACTGAGTGCTGTAGGTAAGCATGTTTGCCTGGGAAAGGTACTTCCCACTAAATCTGGTTTTCATCTTCATAGGTGACTGACTTTGGGTTTCATCTTTTTTTTCAGATCAGAAGATACTGATACTGCTTCAGTTATATGAGAAGAATAATCAAAGTCTTATAAATTCCAGGTAAGCTGACCATCTTCCTTTGTTTGACTAACTACACACAAATAAACAGTCTCACAATTGGCATTTTTCCAGGGTCTTATTATTAACTGAGATAAAAGAGTGAGCAAGGTCAAACCTAGAGGTAAACATTGCTTTTGGAAACATTTTTCCTATGTATTTCCTATTCTTAATGTAATTCTCGTGTGTTGCCCAAACTTTGGGTGCCTGTGGGTTGGTGAGTGACTGTCTTATTTCAGTAGTCCATGAAGGCCAAAGCAGAAGTTGCTAGTTTAGGACTCCTTCCCCTTCCCTATTCCCTTGGGATACAGGATTCGTTACTCAGCACAGCCCTTGTCCTTTTCAGTGATCTTGCCCCTGTATGCCTGGTAGTCGGCTCTGGTGCTTTGCTGGAGAGGAATATGCCAGTGGAGAAATGAGTGTATAACCTGTTGCATTAACACATGCATTGTTCATTTTGGGGTACTAACACGGTATTAATGCCTTCCTAATCTTTCTCCAGTAGTCTGGACTGTATGAGCTTGAGCTACATGCTTCATAAGAGAACCATGTGTTGTATAAAAGGATCAGTTTATTTTCAGGCCCTGTGCCCAAGCAGTCCACAGGGAAGTCTGTTGCTAACAGCTAGTTCTTAAATACACTAATGTTTTTTGTTTGACTTGCTTAAATGCACTTTTCTATCTTTGAGATATGGTTACAAATATTAACAGTAGTGCAAGAGTACCAGCTCAGGCAGTTGGAGCAGGACTGGATTCTGAATTAAGAACGTCCCGCAGCTTTGTCTGAGAATATAGATAATTCTTGCAGCCCAGGAGGACAGGAAATGAAGGTTCTTGTTAGCAGGGAATTGAAGTGGCTTCTCGAAGCCAGGACTCTGGCACTAGCCGCATCCTGCGTAAATCTTTACTGAAAGTGTTTGCAAATGGGAGGGTGTTATGCAAGGAGGAGACTGATTTCAGAGATAGTTAGGTCCCAAAACATTTGTAGCCTTTTTAAAGGAGAAACAGTTTCATACTGTACCCTGAAGTGAGTTGGTAGCCAGACACTTGGCTAGACTTGATCCCAGCACTGAAGAGTTTGAGTGAATATAGAGAACATGCAGGAAAAGTGCTGTACATGCAACCCAGCAGGACCCAACTTGTGTTACAAATGGGAGCCTGGATGGTAAGAAGCCTAGCACTGTCCCTCCACTGACAGTGAGGCATGCTGCTGGAAGTACTCACATAATAAATGACAACATCAATAGCACATTCTGCACAGTAGCAAAGCTCCCACTAAGGAGCAACTTGGAGGAGGAGAGTAAGGATTTATGTTTTACTGAACCACTGTGATGCTGGTTTGAAATACTGATTGCATTTGGGACAATCTTGTCTGACCAGGTCTTGATCACTGTCTCTTCATGCAGCTGCTATCATACTCATCTGCATTTATAGCTTAAATAAAAAAGCATTTTTTCTGAGAAGGTACGTTCTGACTTGGATTAACAAGGTAGGAAATAGTTAATGAGACACCCTCAGACTGAATTTGAAAAGCTTTTGGATGGATGAAAAAGGTGTTGCCAAGGAAACGAGTTCTAGTTTCAAATTCCCACAGGACAATAAGAACAAGTGAAGGGAAAATTTAAATACTAATTTCTATCCTCTGTAATTGCTTATCGCTCAGTGCTAGCAGTCTGTTGACTAATGCTTTTACTTTCAACATCATTTAAGAATCCTACTATGGGGTCCAGCCGCTGTGGAGCATCACAAGACTTGCAAGAGTCTAGGGAAGTCACTGTGGCAGCAGCCAAGCATGGAGGAGATTCTGTGTCTGCTAGATCGAGAGAAGATGATGAAGACAATTCTGTCTTTCCCTCAGCATCGCCGTCTTCTGTCATCACAGGTGCTTGGGTGCAGACAGCTGAATTATCCTCTTTTGATGTAGAAAAAGGCCTTTCACTTCAGTAATTTCTTTCTTGCTTTTATGTAACATATTGCATTTGTTTAAATTGCAATTTAAATTCATAAGAGGGCTGTAGTTAATTATTTAGGAGCACTTTTCAAGCGAATTGCAGTATATGGACCACATCTTGTTGGCAGGTGTGGTTGTGCAGCACTGCAAAGATTGCCATGTAGAAGTCAGACCAGAATTTCACTTTTAAACAGTTGTTAAATTTGACTGTCCAAGGATCCACTGACAATGGGCTCTTCAGTCTTTCATACGGTTTGCTAACATGCTTCTATACCTGTTAGTGCTCGTCAGGGAAAATAGTTTTGGAACCCTGATAGTGAAAGCCAGCTTTAAACACAAGCATGTCTCACTCTGTGTTGCATTATATTTTGCAAGGTTTCTTATCAGCTTCTTTATAATGGGATGAGGTGGTTTGGGATGTTTGAAACCAAGCTGGAAGTTGCTGTAGTTCCTTACAAATACTGGTTTGGATTTGATTTCAGGAGTCACTACATAGAGATGAAAGTGTCAAGAGTCTTGATGACTTCTACGATCCTTGTTTTCTACTTCAACTCTTTAGTGAACTGACCAGACCAGGTAAAGTGAATGTTTCTGTTCAATATTTAGTGTCATTTTACTCTGCTGGGGAAGCTGCATGGCTCCATCTGTAGCTCTGTTATTCTTAATATGATTGTTAATACTACAAAGAAATTTGTGCCTGGCTTTGGAGAGAAGAAACATACATCATTTAACCACCTACTACATTGCATTGTAATTTTGAGAATGACTTAAAAATAACAAGGCATACTTGGCATTAAAGTTTGTTGGATTTTTTTAAAGCACTTTTCCAAAGAATGCAATATATCTAGTGAGATTTAGCTACTTAGGAATAGAGCAAGGTAGCAGCAGACATTGGCATT